GGTGCCCGGGGCTTTGAGGCTTGTTATTAATACAGAGCCGGTAACCGGACTGTTCTGCATATTGACAGGGAGGGACCTCGCCTCTAACGCAGATTCTCCGACCAGCTGCTGGCCATGGTATGAATGAATATAACAGGAAAACATCCATCTTCAGGAGCGGAACAAAGAGATCACTCATTTACAACTCAAAGCCACCCAAACGCAAATAAAACAAGGGTCTTAAACTAGGTGTAAAAAAATATTTCGGGAGGGTCATATATGGAAAACAGTGATGTACAAAGGAAATATTCACTGCCAACGCGAGCCCTCAAAATGACTGTCGTTGTATTAAAACTGTGGTGGATTGGAGTAAGAAATGGGGAAATTAATACTTGGGGTTACAAAATAAATGGATCAACACACAAATTAAGAAAATGAAATATACATACGGAGAAGCATGCAAAAACTCCATAGTTTTAGTCGAGGGTCAAAGTCTTTTGATAGATTAGATTTTAGAAGAAATATAGGAAGGATAATATTAAAATTAATCGATAAACACTTGGATACATTTGGCACAGATTAGTACCATTGGCAAGATCTTGTGAACACGGTAATGAATCTTGGGGATTCATTGAAAGGTAAGGGTGTTTCTTGACTTCTGTTCAACTGTTATTTTCTCAATAAGACTCTGCCCCATTGGGTTACATAGCACTGGCTGTGAACTTCCAGGTTCTATTAAGGACAATTACGACCTAGGGCTCAAGACCATTGCCAGTAACACGTCCTGTGAAACACTGTGAAAAGACCAGTTAAGGCTCAGTTCCACATTGAAAGTAAATGGCGACAGACGTTTAAATAGCGAGATGTTTCACTCTTCAGTTCAATAAATATTCCGAGTTTTAATGCGCAGACCTCCGCCTCTAACGCCAAACACTTTCACGTTGGACGAAGGAACAAATCAGGTTCAGGGATAACCAATTTACGACTAAAAACTTTTTGTAGTAGTAAAGCAAGAACACACCCCTGTGCCTCTGTGGTCAAGATATACATCTAACTATAGTGGTAACATGAATAAGGAACGACAGGAGATATCATTGTCTTTGTCAAGTAGGGGGCCCTATTTAGGGCCTCAACTGTATTTGGTTCGGTACCATACATCGGCATTTTCTTTTGTATAACAATAGTCACATGATTATTGGAGTACACTCGAGTCAAGTGTAAAATAAATATGCCAATAAGTGGCACTAATATAACATGAACACGCACAGAGCGAAACTAACTTCAATCCATGTTAAGTTGGAATAATGTTTAACCCTCTTCTGGTTTTCTTCAAGGACCAATAACTCTAACAATGAGGTGATAATACGTCCCTTTATCTGAGAACTGATACTACGAGTCTGTGATATAAAGTCATAAAAATAAGCATACAGTCCTGTATTTTTGGCGTGACCAATGTCAGCTGTATGCGCATTGTATTTGGCCCAGTTTCCTAACGCCGTATGGATTAAAAGGGTGGGTAAGCTGCAGGCGAGTACATTTATTTAAGTGCAATGAGTCGCTCTCATCTTCAATTAGCAAGCACAGCACCACCATTCCCACCATATTCCCCCTAACGCGCAACCCAGCGGCCACGACTAAAAAGTCTGACAGTACACAGTATAGGTTAGAGGTGCGAGTGCGATTATAATCTTACGTCGTAAAATTAAAAAAAAAATTAAAAAAAATTGCTTTATAGTTCGTATTTTTCATTGCTTCACGAACAGCCCTTTCAAGAGAATGATTTGGTTCATGAATTATGGTAGTCGTTGAGTTCTGGTCAGACAGCCGACTATTGAAAGCCCATGTTGAGACTATAGGTGAAGCACTGTATTCTTAAGACCGCATAGTTCTCAGATCAATCTTGACAGATGAGCATGTTAGGAAGCTGCTTGTTTGGTTATTGGGTTATTTTACGATGCTGTGTGGTTATATTGAGGTTATGCAGGATCGAACAAAGCGCCTAGAAAAATACTTAGACCTAAGAAAGAGTATGTAACAGAACCGAGAAAATTACATAAAGAGAAGCTTCGTAATTAATAATTTGAACTCATTATAGTATTAGGATGATTAAATCATGGATAATGAGCTGAGTAAGAAGTGTTTCATATGGCATGGGTTCTCAGCACTTCCCAATTACATTTTAATGAGTAGAAAATAACAAAGACATTAAAAAATGTAAGAGTTTCTGTGTTGTATTTTAGTTGTTTCCTTTTATGTCTTTCAAGATGATTCTGACATTGAAGATTGGGTGCAAATTATAAATCTCTGGTTTAGATATGATGAATAATTAGTCAAGATACCTTGTAACTGCTAAGGCATATAAATATTTTCAAAAATATTTGGAACAAAGGGGTAATAAATAACAGGAAGTTAAGAAAAAAATTACATAATTAGTATCTTAATAGTTTAAACACTTCACTTTTTATCATTATGGTGATTAAATAATTTGAAATAAAATTAGAAGGATATTTGTACAGAAAATCTGGATAGAAGAGACAATTTGGAAATCCTAGTTAGGAGAAACTGGCATAATAAAAAGGTATACTATATACATATAAATCGGTTTAACACATTAGCATTGACCTGAAAATGTATACCTGCAAGCTTTCTATAATGTTTGGAGTATAAAGAAGTGCTTGTTACATATTCGACTAGTCCTCCTATGGGGTATTTTTAGTAAAATGTCTAAAGATTGGCATTAAAGTTCATACTTTCATTCTTATTCTTCTCATTAACTACTATTAAGATTAAAAACAAAAATTAAAGAACATGTAATTTTATCACAACACAAATGAACATGATTTTAGGCACAGAGAATCTAAACAACAGACAGAGCAATACAATAAAATAGCAGAACCTTTGTATTAATAACAAAGCAGAAGACAATAAAATAACATATATATATATATATATCGACTGACAAAGGAAAATACTCAGTGCTGGTCGATCTGTGTACAGAATTACACACAAATCTGTATGACATTTAACCAAAAGTTGGCTATCTTAATCTAAAAACACAAGCAATAAGTATTAATTACGACTTACTTCCAAAGACTTCACTGGATATCTGTTTCAATAAACTAATCACAAGTCTAAGATTAATATTTTTCTTAAACGGTGACTGTAAAACCGCAAGAGAAACACCAGAAATGCTATTACACACAAATATCTGTCAACTAGCCATCTTTCACTGTTGTTGAGTACAAATATTACCAACATAATGGTGGAAAACTTAACATAATTTGGTTAATACATCTGTCGGTAATACAGTATGTCA